ATATGTGAAATGCACTCTTTGTATATTCATATTCATTAATTCACAAGTTTTATTCTTCCCACATCTTCATACTTACAATTAACAACTAAATGCATCGGAAAATCTTACAATCATACGGGATTGAACACCTACCTAACCATACAACTAAATATACGCATAATTATAAATCGCACGCTTTTACATTAAGCCTCTCGGCTACGCAATCGATGGGGGAAATTTTCTATTTAAGAAACATCCCTTACCAATGAAATAAATTAGATATTCATAATATTAAATAAATAATAATTCTGGCTAGAGATTTGGAAAAATCTAGAATAATTCTTTTAATAGGATTCAGCAAGTTTTTCTGATCAGTGGTGGAATAGTTTCTCTAGGTGGAATCTTCAATAATTCTTCAAATCAGTCACTGGCCAGTGTCTGGAAAGAAATTCTTATCACGATTATGATCAGATTTTCTGGTCAGTGACTTGACAAAAGTACTGTTCACAAAGGGGAATTGTTTTATCCAGTGAAACTGGCCAGTCACTTATTCAGGACTGGCCAGATTGTCTTGGCAAGTAAAACTCGCGCTCTCGACTTTACAGATACTGCAAGAAAACAAGTAATACTTGACAAATTTCTACCTGGGAGGTTGCAAAGTTCGAGTTACAGAGGTTTTTGGGCTTCTAGGGAAGGAAATGGACATTTTCTTCGACTTATAGAGGTTTTCAACTTATCGAGGTTCTACTGTATTTATTGAAATCTATAGTGCAATAATCAATAGCACATGTTTATTAAACCAACTAAACAGTATTTGTATTGGAACGATATTGAATATGCCGTTTATTGCGACAAAAACACAAATATAATTGATTCGGTAGCATTTTGTTCTCAATGTAATAATTGAAACAAAACAAAAATGAACAAAATAGTGACTCCTCATGTTTTGCAAATCATTTCCTTAAAGAAATATAAGATTCCCAAAAGTGTCAGTTGTACGAAGGAAGGCAAAGTGTTAATTATGTAAATTTTCGGTCAAAACACATTGTATCCCACGCGGTGGAGAATTTTCTTTGGGGATAGTCTTACCTAAATCATGCAAGTGTATCGGTGCATAGGAACTTTGATAATGAGTACATCACCATTAAGCAGGCAGCAGAACTATCTTGCTTGATCTTATAAGATATATAGAAATTCAACGTTTACACTGAGAGAGAGAGACAAATGACGTATTTCGGAGAGAAGGCCCCCTTTTTAATTCAGTGGCGGAACCGGCTTTTCCGTTTCAATATTATGCACCCCTAAAAATTGACCTCTTTCTTTTTACCTCAAATTAATGCCGCTCTTTAAATACTTTCCTTTGGGAATATCTTTTATGTTTCATTTTCTCAAAAACGAATCAAGAAGAAGGCCCTTGTGCGAATAAGCAGTTTTTATACCATTTTGTATCAGTGGAACGTTTTCCAAGTAAAAATTTACAAATTTACTGGTCGCATATTGATTTTAGTACTGTTGAGATATGCTGAACTAGTTTTGTAATAATTAAAGATAACCGAGTGATAAAATTATTATTTTTATAATTATTATAAGAATATTGTTACTGTAACTTCTTCAAAATTATTTTCGTCATTTCAATTCAATTATTATTTTCTAGAATTTTCAGCTAAAATTCTTCTTTAAATCAATTGTTTTTAATAATTTTTTAAAAAGTTCTTTGAAAATTTCCCAATCTATTTCTTTACAATTTAGTTTTACTATAAATTTTGATTATTCCCTGACTTTATCCTGGTTTAGTACTGGCTCAATACTGGTTCAGTGTTGGCTTCATACTATCACAATACAGTCAGTCCCCGCTACCTGCGCAACTCGCAACCTGCACATCCCCGAAACCTGACGCTCTGACGACATAGACCAAACTCGCTATGTGACTATACTCACTTTCACTTTTACCGCGTGCTCAGTGCCGAAAAGTGTCTCAGTACATAAGTTTCTCTTGACGACTAAAAATTTTTGTTGTGCCACAAATTAATTTAAAAAATTGAATTTTTTCTTTTTTCTTATCAATTACTCATTTGATACATATATTTTACATAAAGTATATTAAAATTAATAAATTTATCTAAACATTTCTGTATTTATAAAATATACACGCACTGAGAAAAAAGAATATTCATTTTAAAAATAAAGACCAGTTTGAGTGATTTTGTTTAATTAAACAGAGTTTGTAAGTTTCATTTTAATATATATGAAAAATATCTATCACTCTTATTTAAAAATATTATTTGCTTGTATATGATTTGTTTCATTTAAAAAAAAATTATATTTGAATTAAACATAAACACGTTTAAGTACATAACAGTTTTGTACCAAACAAAATTTATGTTTAAATGAATTATATTTTATCAACTAAAAAATATGTTTGAATTAAACTTAAATATGTTTGACTGTATAACAAAGATAGTGAATTAAACATATTATGTTTCAAATTAGAAGTATCGTTTTCTCAGTGCGGGCGCCTACAATTGTATGCGATATAAGGGTGTATACATCCCTGAAAGTGGTGGGAAATGAATGGTGGGAGAGCGGCTGACTGGACTGTCAGGTAGCGAGTTCGGGGGAAAGGAAAAATTCTGAAATATGTGCAGGTTGCGGGGACTCACTGTACAATAATCTTAGTACTGTTTCAAAATTGCTTTAGTATTGGCTTAATGATGGCTAAATTTTTGTGCTTTATATTAGCATAGTACTGGTTGAGTACTGGCTTAGTATTAAAATTCAGCTCTGGCGTGGTTCAGAATTATTTTTAAAACCAGTAGTTCGCTAATGCTGGCCTGCCAACTACCATAGCCAGTACACAAGAAAAAAAAAGTCTGACTCCGATTACACCTTAAATTCAGCCCATGTATTTCACATAAGTCTGTCCTTGTTTAATGGGGCTGACTCCGTTTACACCTTAAATTCAGCCTCGAAAACAGGCTAAAAGTAAAACTTTTTTTTTAGTGTGTATTGATGACAAAATTCTCTGCTTGGGTGATAAAAAATAAAACCATTATTACCCTAGACAGTAAATAGAGTTAAAAACTATTAATAGTAAATAAATGATCGACCTTGAAGAAATAATATCAGAATTGAAACAGCAACAACAACAACAACGAGACTATACAAAAGGCCAGTAAATATAAACGTCACTTTGCGCAAATGCATATGCAGAGTGGAAACAACACTGCGAGCGCGAATACTTTAGGTTGCCAGGTGGAAAATGCTTTCTCGTTTTCGTCGTCAGTTATCCTCAACGAGAGTTATTTTAGTTCATTAGCATCCCCATATGAGCCTGGATGACATGGACAAATGCATTAGCGAGAGCTTATAAGTAGTGTTTCTGACATTGCGCGCGGCTGAAAGTTAACGAAACAAATATCTACATCGTTACATTAGAATTATCTCGCTTTGCTTTGCAACTCATTCATAAAACTCGTGTTGCTTCTCTCTGCTTTTTATTTCATTTTTCTTTTTATTTTCAACTTTATTGAACACTGTAAAAATTTAATATTGTATGAAGGTGAGAATTGTGTCAAGTTAATATTATGTCAAGTGACCATTATACCGAGTGAATGATATGTCAAGTGAATATTGTACCAATAAGTGACTATTATGCCAAGTAAATATTATACCAAGTGAATATTGTACCAAGTTACTATTATACAAAGTAAACATTATATACCAAGTGCACATTATACCAAATGAATGAATAATATTCCAAGTGAGTATTATGTTAAATGAATATTATTTCAAGTGAATATTCTATGTTAATTGAGTAATGTAAATAAATAAATTCTAATTCTAATTATGTCATGTGAATGTTGTACCAAGCGATTATTATTCCAAGTGAATATTATGTCAAGTTAGTATTGTACCTAATGAATATTATACCAAGTGAATATTATGTCAAGTGGTTACTATGCCAAGTCCACATTTAGGGTTGCCACAATCATTTAACTTTCTTTTCCCTGATTTCAAGACAAAATTTTGACTTTTTCCCTGACCCTAAAGAATATTCTGATTCACTCTAAAAATTATTAGATTGTACTCATAAAAATGTTCTATTACACAGTAAAAAATTTAGGAAGTTAACGGACTCGGGAGTTGCGAGTTAAATTTTTCGAGTTAAAAATCAACTCTAAAAGAGAGTTAATTTCTAACTCCCTTCATTCAACACCCGCGCGAGTTGTTTTTTCCTTGGGGAGTTAGCATTTGGGTGTGAAGTTTTAACTCTCTTTATTTAACTCCCCTGGCATTAACTCCCCAATGGGGGCGACTTTTATAGAATCCCCTGGGGAGTTAAAATTTAACTCCCTTTTTTACAGTGTAGCATTAAGTATGTCATCAGTAATTTTAAGTAAAAGAGTTTGAGTATTGAATCCTTTTCTATAGCCAGATTGAAAAGGATCGAGAATATTATTAGACTCAACATATTTAATCAACTGATTACACACACACTTCTCAAAAACCTTTGACAGGCCACACAAAATGGCAACCGGTCTATGATCCCCAGGATGTTGTGGAATTTTAACTTTATTAACTGGTTTAGTTAGAACATTTCTTATTAATACAGTACCAAGTGATTATTATACCAAATGAATAATATGCTATAAGTATTTAGACTATGAGTCTAATAAACGTTTCTTAGATTCTAAAAAATCATTCATTACCATCAATACTTTTATTAACTTGTCAAAAATCTTTTTTCACCTATACATGAAAAAAATCTAAAACTTGAAAAGAAATAAATTTTTGTTTTTATCTCGACAGAAATTAAATTTGGGGTATTAATAACACTTCTGACTTTATGAATTAATATAATCAACTTGAATGAAACTCAGAATGAAGTTTTCCCTCCTTCGAGTTTGTAGTCGCTATAGATATTAGCTCAAGAAGTCGTCAGAAATAATTTTCATGAGCCGTGCCAGAAAGTTGCGAGAGAATAATTTAATTGCAGTGTCAAAGTTCTTATTGGAACGTACCTTGGGGTCAAAGTTGAAGACCTGTTCAGGCCTTAACGGACACTCAAGACCGCATTTGCAAGTTCCCGCTGTTGTCAGGTACTCCTTCAGTTGATCCAGCGAACCCAGCGCCGTACTGCTTGGACTAGAAAAAAAGGAAAAGTTTTTTTAAATTATAAAACAATGACAAAGAAGAAGAAAAAGACAAAAAATTAATTAATTTTTGAAAAAAAGATTTTTGTTGTTATTACACTCTTTTTTTTATAGTTGAGTAGCATTGAGCTTACTCCTAATCATGAAAAAGATTTCCCTTGACGCGGAAAATTGTACGAAGACGGTTATCAAAGCCTCTCTCGGAGAAGAGAGAGAGAACAAGGCAGGCGATAAAAAACAGACAGGTTCATTGGCTTCTTGCTGTTTATACCGATTACACTCGACTTGCGGAGAGAGAGATTGTTAGATGCAGGGTCTCTGTTTGGGAGGCACTTTCAGAGTTTCCTAAACTAATAACCTCTGGCGTTATAGTCGGTCATTGAGTCTCGACACCCTATGATCATCATCCCCTTTCAGTTCCCTTTCACAGGTTTCGGATTTGTTACCCTCATCACTGGTCAGGTTCGTATCAAACAAGATAATTAGATGTCAATTAATGGACGAATTTTACTCTTCACTTGCTTCAAAGTGGCTGAAATTGTTACTTAATTTAGTATAAATAAATAACAATTAGTCAACCCTCAGCAGTGGGGTGAAAATATTATTTTCGGGGGTAGTCACATTAAAGGTGACTAAATCATTTTGTAGAGGGCGGTACATCCATATTTTCAATTATATCATCAAATTTTTCTAAATACAAAGAAAAATATTTTTATAGTTTACTTGGAGGTTATCTTTCAGGTTTCAAAAATCTGACGTTAAATTTGAAAAATTAAAAATGGCGGATTTTTTAAATTGATAAATCTCACTATGAAACCTATTACTCAGGGGACTTTAAGGTCGCTGATTTCAAATTTGACCCTTCTATATATTATATAGAAGGGTGGCCAAAAAAGTTTAATTTTATCTGATTTCCAGAAAAATTTTTTACTTTTTCCTGACTAAAGACAGGCTTTGAACTCATCTACTAAAACCTACTATTTACTACTTATTTGGGTAGTTCTACAAACGAAGGAAGAAAATAAAGAAAATTTTAGCACAACATTTTTTTTACGTTCAGGTTTTAAAAAGTAGGTTAAATTCAACTGAAAACTGAAACTGAAAACCAGAAAACTGAGAATTTGGTCATCTTTCGTCTAAAAAATTGAAAAACAACGCTTAATAACAAAATTCAGCATACTGGTCAACGGGAAATACACGAAGAAAAATGGAAAAATGATTTATGCAGTCAGTGTAGTACTCCTTTATAGAATAATATGTGACAGGTACACGGAGAAACTTTTAATACCACTAATTCTTAAAACTGGTGAGACATTTTAGTATGTTAGGTTAGATTCAAGGGAAAAACGACATAGGTTATAGAAATTGCTATTGAGACTATCAAAAACACTCATTCAGTATATATTTTACAGTTCTTCATAAGGAAACTAACGAAAATTAGTATGTTGTTTTAGAAAGAAAATAATAATTTTTGCAAAGTTGGGAAAGCCATGAATTAAAAAGAAACACAACAAATTAATTGTCTATAGATACTCATAGAGACGATAGTGATACTTGGATCTGATGGTAGATGGCATTAGTGTATGTCACTGTAACTGTAGGTAAATATATTTAACACGACGTAAGAACCTAACCTATATTATTAACGCACACACGCACACGCAAGTAAAGACACGACGATTGGTCACGGAAACCGAAAGATCGCACGATTCGTTAGAAGTACACAGCTGAATCGTCCTTATATATTAAACGAGTGGAAAAATATGTGCCTTCGAGAGAGAGCATTTTTTAAAATAACTTACTAATCAAATTATGTAAATAAGTAAAAGTCGTGAAAAAAATTATGTTATATTGAGGAACAGTTCTTGAATTGAATTTGGCATGAGGAGACATTCACGTTTATTAATAAAAGGTTTTTTTCTTTCATACACGTGTGAATTTCAACTTCGAAAACATTAGGGTTAGTTCGCGACGTCAGGTGATGGACTCGGTGATGCTCGGGCGAAATCGGTTAAGTCCGCCCGCAGTCCTTCCAAAATTGGTATGTTACGTTAGAATGTCTGTTATATATTCTATCTATATGTGGAAAAAAGGTTAGAATTACCGTATTATTTCACAAACAAAAACTAGCATTTTATTCTTTTCTAAAGAAAAATAAGACTATTTCTAATGCAGATAGTAATTTTTGTACACCGAAGGTTGCTTAATATATAACGAACTTATCATATTTTCGTATTAATGTTGAAATTATTAGCACAACGCACGAAAAATCCTCACATTCTAACGTACTTTTAGAATAAAGATAACCAAATATATTTAATATTAGAAGAAAAAGTTTCTCCGTGTACACACTATAGTATTAGAAGTTTCATAGCTGAACACTTTGGGTCTCAACACAAGTTATCCCATTCATCAGCTTAAACAAGACTGTTTAAATAGTCTAAGAGGGAATTAGAGTATAAAAAATTAGAATGAGAAATTACTTTCTCATGTAATTGTTAAAAGAACGCGGCAGTGTACAAAACACAAGTCAATAATAGAAGCGAATATTGAACAAATAGTACTCAGTCCAGTTCTTTCGAAAAATGAACGCCGTGCACATAAAGTAGATACCTACTCGAAAACCACAAGTTATTCTCTCTCTCTCTCTCTCACACACTAATGGTCGTTCACTTATCTTACCGTTTCACTTACTCTTACTACTCTCAACTATTATGCAGTGCAGTTAAGTTCATTAAATTATTAAATATTGCTGTGAGAATAATTAATTATACATTTCATTCAACGTCAATTCACTATTTTGTACACGAAAAAAAAGAATAATAAAATTTACCATGAGGACTGTCAAACTTAAAAAAGGTTTCAAGATTATTAAGAAAAAATTAATGTTTTTTATTTATTTATTATTAAATTCTAATAACCGTATCAAATTTAAACTAGTTGACAATATTATTTATTCAATATTATGAATATTGTTGACATCCATACTTACATTAATTACAAAGTAAAATCCACGCATGATCTAATTTATTTCATTGGTAAGGGATGTTTCTTAAATAGGAAATTTCCCCCATCGATTGCGTAGCCGAGAGGCTTAATGTAAAAGCGTGCGATTTATAATTATATGCGTATATTTAGTTGTATGGTTAGGTAGGTGTTCAATCCCGTATGATTGTAAGATTTTTCGATGCATTTAGTTGTTAATTGTCCGATAATGGCCCCGGCTCGTGTAAAACTGATGCAATTTTTTAGTAACCAAAATGATCGAGTTCCTAATCCGGATTCAATAACCGATCTGGCATTTGAACCTAATGAAACAACTGTCAGGGAGCTGGGACGATTTTTCACATTTGGCGGGAAATTTATTTAAAAGACATTTATTTTGTCAAGTAACTTCGTAAAATTTGCATAATATTAATCTTTGACCACAGTGTGACGATGACCCGACTTAACAATTACTTTCCTGAAATATCATTCCATGACATGACAATATCGAATCTTAAAATATATCCAACAACCAATACCACCTTCAGCGCCTCCTGGAGACTTGGACTGACAACCCGGACTTCCATCTGATGTGGATTTGCGACTCGCTCTTTCCAACTCTCTGACATAAATAGAGAGCATGGAAATCGCTTCTAGAAAGCTATATGCACATTGGCACACCAAATATATACATAGTAATCGAACTCTACTTTTATTCTTCTTTTTAGTGTTGTTCTGACAGTTGGCAAAGCCTTAAGTCATTTAAGAAGAAGAAGAAGAAGAAGATAATCTTCGCCTGTGTTTCAATGCTCTTTACATTGACATTTGGAACTAAGGCCCTCTATACACTATACGCAATACCTTAATATACTTGATGGAAATGAATTAATGTACTTTTACTGGACTGAGTCCAGTTTTTTCAATATTGACTCCCAGTTTTTCAAACTCTATTTTTCTCAGTGTAAGGTTCTACGACACCTGGAGCAACAAAAGTATAAAAACATAAAATATTTTTTTTAAATGCGTGCCAGGAAACTGAGAATGAATTCGATGGACAAAATTCAAGATAATATTTTTTAAATAAATTTAAAGTAATGTAACAATTATTTAAATCTTTGTAAAGTAAAACTATTTGAAATTATTATCCAAGTGTAAATTTGTATTTAATCGCTTAAAAATAATATTTATATAATTTATAAACTTTCATTTTCACATTGGGACATGCCAGGAAACTGAGAATTTAGCACATGCTTATTTTTTGCAAAAAATATATTCTAAAACTGGGTAACGTTTTGTGGCATAATAGAAATCATTAAGCACTACAGTTCTCATTGAAAATAATTTTATTTTTTTCAAAATTAATGTAAAAAACAACCTTGGACATCATATATTCCCTCTTTTGTAGAACCCCGTGAAGAAATTTACCGTGGATATTTATATTTATATTTATATTTATTATATTTGTGACATTAAAAGCTACTTTTTTCTATTTTATAAGAATTTGCTCTAATTTAAATCCGCACATAGTTAAAATTGAAAAATTATAATAAAATTCCACGCAAGAATTCAATTATTTTCGAAAAATTTTTTTAAATTCTTCACAGAAATTCAACTATTTTCATAAATAATAAAATTTTTCACAAGAATTCAATTTTCTACAAATAATGAAATTCTTTGCTGAAATTCAATTATTTCCAATAACAAATATTTCAATAAGATTGTACAGAAGAATTCAATAATTTGAAAAAGTTTTAATAAAATTCTTCTTAAAAAATTTGATTACACAGGCACACAAAAAAATAAAAAAGTCAAAACCCAGAGGTCACACCCCCCTATCCCCATGTTTTTGGGGTCGCTGAAACCGAATATGACCATGAAAAATTTTTCTCATCGGCCATTTTCCCGCTACCACCCCCTTACACCTGCTCCCGGGGGTTGGAATTTCAGTTTAAAAAAAAGTGGAGTAGGGTGTCTATTCCTATGTTTTTTGGGTCGCAAAAACCAAAA